TTCAATTATTCATTAAACATCCTAAGATGGACATTTCTTGTATCTTTTTAGTAAGTAATTCGATTTTTTGATTTGATCTTTCAAAAACAAGATCAGGCTCAAATTATGATTCATTTTGCCATTTTTTAAACTCATTTACTCTTCTCTTTTTACACCTGCTGCTGACCTCTTTACCACAAAAAAATGCCCCATATTTTGACCTGCTTCCATACGCAGCTCCTTACGAATAAACAAGGATGTTATCGGTAAATTTAGGCATTTCTACTTTTTATAGAGCCATTCGGGTTTTGGCTACTTTGTGAGGCACTGTAATGCACTTGTTATGAGTTAGCAGGTGTGAGAGAGAATATGGCCACAAAAGTGAAACTAAAACCCAGGCATTGTAGGGTTGTCGTTGTTCTGCCGATGACTACATGCAATGCGGGGATAGTTGAAGTGGGGACGGACGACAAAACGCACATTTTGTCCTAAATTCTACGGCTGAATCCAAACCCCCCCAGAGCACAATGTAGAAAGAACGGCAAGTTGAAGTTATACTTTGATGATTGGAATAACGGGTTGGGTCTTTATAGAGTTGAGTTTAGTGAGCAGTGAGAAATATGGGAACAACAAACTCAGCCGCAGATGAAATAGGATAAAGCAATACTGAAAATTGTTGGTCTGGAAAAGAAAAAAATATTCTGAAAAGCAGTTTTAGATGAGATTATGAAATGGACATACATATTTCCAATGGATATGTTTTCAGGTTAAATAATGTAATGTTTTAATAACGATAAATGCAAATGACTAAACTTCCGTCTCAATTCTATCTGGGATCTAAGCTTTTATTCATTTCTGCTCCTGAAAATAATGCAAATCCTTGTTGAACCACAAAAGGCAAAATGATAAGGTTTGTATAAAAAATGTGTCACTTCCAGAGCTCAGCTTTGTGTGAGAAAGAGAAATACAGACTGCATTTTCACATGGACTGTGGTAAGTCGTCAAAGTTAATGTAATTATTTGAATGAACTGTGTAATGTATGAAGCTTTCAAGGTCATTAAAAATGTAATTCATATTCAGTTTTTGTTGCTTTTTGATGTGTTGTTTTTCCAGCTAGCTCACGTGCTGGGGATTTATAGTTTGAAGATAAGTTAAATTTTGAATTACACCTAAATATATGAAAACACAAAATATTATTTTGTATGTAATTTGTGTCATAGCTTTAAAAAGTCTAGTTTGCAGAGACTTAGTGTGGCTTATAACAACTCCTTGAGACTGATGCTGAAGGTTCCTGGACTCAGCAATGAGATTCTAGTGAGACGTGTGCCTTCTGTGGCGTCCGCTTCAGTTCTGCTTCACTTTGTAATGTACAGTTCAGATTCCTTTGTCGTCTTCGGAACGCCTCTAAATGATGGATTTTATGGAGGTCAAGCCTTTATACTGCACACTAGCTGTAATTGTCTCTTTTTATGTATGTTTCTATTTCTAAATGCAATGTACTGTATATTGTATATTCTCTTTTTCCCATGGACCGTATTGTATTATGTCCTTAATTAGATAAGTAAAACCATGTTTTCAGAACTATAAGCCGCACCTGATTATAATCCGCAGTCTCCAATTTTTAGAAAGACATTTTATTTTTACTTGAACAAACAGCACCGGATTATAAACCCACATTGTAATATTGAAAAATGTTTCTCAAAAACGTTCATCGTGTCTTCTTATTACTGTGAGTGATAAGAGTAAGAAGTGAGTCACTGACTTTTCTTCATCTTCCAGTGAGAAGCAGAAAGATGAGGAGCAACATCTACTGATCTCTTTCACTTTCATGTCTATACAAGGAACCAAAAAACGATTTATAATGAGATATTTACAAAAAGATATTATAAATCTAAACTTTATTTAATCTGCTTTATTGACAAATATTACATTTAATTGGACCTCTGTGAACGACTCATCAATTCTGAAATAAAAAAAAAAAAAAAATTAACCCACAACTTACCATAAGCCGCAGCCTTCAAAATGCAAAAAAAAAGCCACGGCTTACAGTCCTAAAAATTTGGTAATAACTTCTCTAGAGACAACCCTACAAGTACATTATGTATTGCCTTTAATTGTTGATAAAAATACATTGGAAATAAGCAAAACAAACTAGAATCACTATAAAGTAAAATACTTATACAGTAGTTTACAGACGTATGAATAAATGAACCATTTCCTCTCCTTTGCACTTCCATAGATGCCTGTGTCCGCGGCATTTCAACTCCTCATGAGACTTGACTTCAGATGATCAGTCTTTACCTTCCCTTTCTGTTCCCGCTCGTCATGATAATATGTATAATTCTCCTTTCTTCAACAGGGTCACATTGTATGAGCCGTGGCTTCTCCCTGTGAGGATTTAGTTAATAGATTCTCACTTCACATGTAGCGAGTGGGTGACATTCAGAAGAAATGACTGAAGTCAAGTCTGTAACTGACAGCAGCCGGAGAAGTATCAGTGAGGAAGAAGCTCCAGCACAAACCCTGAACTGGGAAGGAATATTGCAAAAAATACATTGAACCTCATGATAAACGAATGATTTTGAAAATGTAGAGCTCGGGAATATGAAAATAATGAACTCATGAATAATAAAATGTTCAGATTTTGACAATAACATTGTACCTGTATGATTGCCATTATCGATTTCCATTGTCTGATATTGTTGTCTTTATTTGACTTTGTACAATATTTTCACTTAGTGGATATATAGATAGATGATAGATAGATGATGGATAGATACTTTATTGATCCTCGTAGGAGAAATGCTGGTGTCCAGTAGCAGCAAAGATAAAAAATAAAATAGATCATTCTAAAAGCTAACAATAGTAACAATCAGCATCAGCCCTTCAGGTCACAGCAGCAGAGATGCAGTAGCCTCTGGGTGGAGCAGGACAGGTCACAAGGTGGAGTAGCCACTTGGTTCAGACCATTTTCTCTGCTCTAGTCCAAAGTAAAATGCTAAATACTGTTTTAAAATTTTTCAAAAAGTTAGCATTTCTCCAGTGGATTTTCACCTGATCCACTTGGTTCGGACCATGAATCCTCTCTGCTCCGGTCTGGACCAGTACAAAACCATGAACACTGTACTGCAGCAACATCTCAGGTAGAAAAAAGCATTAAAAACAAAAATTGTAAATCACAAAACAACACATTTTTCGGAGCTACTTAGGACTTGCAGCCGTTGTCCAGCGCATTCAAAAGATGTGGATGTGCCATAAAACTGATTCTTTTGTATTGTTTATATTATTTAAGTTGTTTTTGCTGTTTCCTACAATTTAACACACTGGCCATTTATGAGGAGACGCCAAAGTTAAACAGTGTTATAATCAAATTTCTGCATGGTGTTTTCACCAACTCCTCAATTTCTCACTTTCCTCTTTTTAACTGGATATTACAGGAGAACCAAACAAGCCAAAAACAAACTTATTTTTTTCTGATGAAAGTAGACAGTCCAGTTTTTCAGAATCTGGTTTCACATTTCAAATGGTTGTAGTACACAATAATCTGTGGGTCTTGAAATTAGTTTACAGGTGCTAAGTCCAGTGCCATTTACTACACATGGTTAGAATCTTCTGAAGTATCTGGAAAAATGAGTGACTGCGCTTGAGACTGTGCGCTGTTGTTGTTTACCTTTGGTCTGAGAGCGTGCAGTAAGAAATACAGCAGCAGCAGAGAAGGTAGCACTTACACAGTCAAAAAAACGTAGCTGAAATAAAAATTCTCCTGCTATGCCGTAAAACTCCTCACCACAGACTTCAAACACTTTTCTAACCTCCTGAAGTGCCATCGCAGAGATATATAACCTGTTCTCTGTAGGTCTGAGTGCTGCTGCAGCTGTCAAAAGCCGTGCATACCGCGTTGAATGTGTTCAGCCCGGCCCAGTCCAGTCCATTCTATTTATAAAGCACTAGTAAAAACAACAATGACCAAAGGGCTGTACATAAAAAGACATACACAAAAAAATACAATTAGAAAATACAAAGCAGTGGCAAAAAACACACTATTTACAGCAAAAAAAATCAACAATACAAAATCAATCAAAAGCCAATTAGAACAAGTGAGTTTTACGACGAGACTTATAAACAGGAAGTATATCAGACACAAAGGGGCAACTCTTTCCATAATTTAGGACCAACAACCGAAAAATCTCCTCTGAGTTTCCGTTTAGTCTGTGAAACCCAGAGCAGAGCCCGATCTGCGGACCTGAGACAACGTGATGGAGCGTATGACGTCAGTAGGTCAGACAGATAACGCAGAGCAAGGCCATTCAGGCATTTATAGACAAACAAAAGGACTTTCAAATCAATCCGGTAGCGAACAGGAAGCCAATGAAGGGATGACAGGACCGGAGAGATATGGTCATACTTTCGACTTCCTGTTAACCAGCTGCAGACGAGAGAGTGGGGACTGATACCCGTGTACAAGGAACTACAACAGTCCAGCCGAGTCTTAACAATAGCCTGAATCAAAATGTTGAAATATCGCCTTGAAAGGGAGGACTTTATTTTAGCAAGTTGCCTCAAATGGAAGAACCTGGACTTCACCATTGCACTTATTTGTTCTTGAAACGTACAATCAGCAGCCTTTTTTCTCTCCAGGTCCGGTTCAATGGGAGTTTTATTTGGGGGCATTGTTGTGGGGTGGTTTTGGTGTGGTGGGTGGTATTAGGTGGGGTGGTGTTGGATATTATAGAGTTATATATAGAGATTATAGTGATGGGGGGGGGGGTAAGTGTATGATATATTAGGGGGTATATGATGAGGGGGGGATATAGGGAGGGGTTAAAATAGAGGAATATGGTATGATGTGGGGTTGTTGGATTTGGTGGGGGGGGAGGGAGGGTTAGGATTATGAATTTGTTTTGGTAGATTTTATTTGGGAAGGAGATTTTGGGTGGTAGGGTGGAGGGAGGAGAGGGTTGTGGGTGGGTTAATGTAGAGTTTAAGTGAGAGTGGGGTGTTGAATTGTTAGAGGAGGAAAATGGGGAATGAGAGGAAAGAGGGATTTTGTGTGATGGAAGGGGGGATTTATGGGAAGGGAATATTGGAGGGGTTGGGTTTGTGTGATCGGGTTGTAGGGATAGGGGTTGGGTTAGGGGGGGTGGGAGTGGGAGGGGGGGTGGGATATGGGGGGGGGGGGAAAGGGTTAGGGGGGTGGGGAGGGTGGGATGGGTAGGGGTTAAGTGGGGTGGGGGGGTACGAGTAGGGGGATATACTCGGGGTATGGTGGGGATAATGGTTGGCATTGGGGGGGGGGTAGGATTTGGGGTTTTGTTTTTAGTTGAGGGGGGGGTGGTGGTATTTTAGGTTGGGCTTTGATAGTGAGAGGATATGATTATCATTATGGTGGGGGTTGGTTGGGTTTGTAGGTATGAGGTTTTGAGTATGGGTAAATGGAGTTGGTAGGGATGGTGAGATGGTATGGATGGAGGAGGGTAATGTTGGTTAGGGGGGTTGGGGGTTTGGTATTGGGGGTGAAGAGGGGTTGTGGGCTAACTGGTTTTGGGGGAAGGGGGAGGATTGTCAGTGACGGATTTGGGTGGGGTGGGGTATTGGGTGCGTGGGGATTTGTAGGGGGGGTAGTTTGGTGTATGGTGGGTTTGTTGTGGGGGCAATGTGATGTTGGTTGTTGTGTGGTTGCATTTGTAAAATGGGGGGGTAGGAAAGGATATTGGAGGCAGTAGTGTAGGGTGGGGATTGGGTTGTTGGCAGGGGTGGGGTGGTGTTTGTAAGGTCGGTTGTTGGGTATTGAGTGTGTGATTTATTTTGTTTATTGTTTTTTTGGGGTGGGGAGTTGGTTTTAAATTATCGGGAGTAGCAGGGGGGAAGGAGGGTGGTGTTTGTGTGGGATTGTGGGGTGGTGGTGGGGTGGGATTTTGGGTTGATGGGGGGGAAGGGGGGAGGGGGTTTTTGTACAGGGGCCATGTTGGGGGGTGGGTGGTTTTTATTTAGGCATTTGGGTTGTGTTTACCACAGCACATAGAATATAAAAATGGAGTATTGGGGGGGGGCTGATTATTGGGATGGTGGGGGGAAGGGGGTGGTAGGGGAGGGGGGGGTTGGGGGATGGGACGGTGGGGGGGGAGGCAGGTTTTAGGGGGGTGGCATGGGGGGTGGGGCATGGGTGTGAGGTGGGGCTTGGGGGGGTGCGTGTGTGTGCGGGGGTGGTTTATTAGTGGATGTAGGGTGGGGGGGGGAGGGGTTTTTTAGGGGGGGGTGGATGGGTGGGGGGGTTGGGGGGGGGGAGGGATGGGGGGGGTATGAGGTTTAATGGTATCACGTTCACGTGTGTGTAAGGCTGTGAGTATGCGTGTGTAAGGCTGTGTGTGCACGTGTGTAAGGCTGTGCGTATGTGTGTCAGTGGTTGTTTATGCATGTGTGTGTGTATGTGTATGTACGAGAGGAGGCGTGTGTGTGCACGTGTGTAAGGCTGTGTGTGCGTATGTATGTGTGGGCATATGTTTCAGATTCAGATTCATTTTATTTGCCATGTGCAGTATGAAAACCACATTGGAATACATTTGAAAAAGGTACTCTGTGTGCACAAACAGAATACATATAAAATACACATACAAATACACTTGAACATAAATAAAAACAGCTGACACTGGCACCGATCGACACAACAACAAAAACTATACAAGGGGAAAAAGCAGCAATTAAAGTGCTCTGTTTAGGCACCTAACAGCTTGTGTCCCAGGGTGGCAAGAAGAGTCGTTGATGATTTTAAGAGCTCGGTTTAAAAGTCTGGATTCATAAAGAACCTTCAGAGCAGGAAGCTCACAGCCCACAGTTCTCTTTGCAGAGCGGAGCACCTTGTTTAAAGCTCTCTTTTCTTTATCTGTGATGTTTCCAAACCACACAGACACAGAACCAACAAGTAAACTCTCAATGGTGCAGCAATAAAAGTTAAGCAGAATCTTAAGAGTTAGTGGTAAATTCTTTTACCACTAACCAAAAGTTTCTGCAAAAAGAAGAGCTGCTGACAAGCTTTCTTAACAACCCGGTTAGTATTTTATCTTATTTCAGGTCGTTAGACAGAGTTAAACCCAGGAACTTGCACTCCTCTACAATCTGCACCTGGGAGTTGTCGATAACAACAGGCGTGTGAGAACTGTTGCGACTGAAGTTAAAAACAAGTTCACATGTTTTTGCTGTGTTCAGCTGGATATTGTTAACTCTGCTCTAGAGGATTCATCATTATCACTGATGAGACCGATGACGGTGGTGTTGTCAGCGTATTTGACGATCAAGTTTGAGTCGGAGGAAGCCACACAGTCGTGAGTGTACAAGGTAAAGAGCAGAGGACTCAGGATACATCCTTGGACACATGGCAACATTCAGAACAAGGGACATGGGTTTTTCAATCAGTTTACCTGGGACAAGACAATTAAAAGCAGAGCTATAATCAATGAACAGCATTCTCGCCACAGATTTACTACCGTCCAAGTGACTGTAGACAGAGTTCAAGGCGAAGGAGATCGCATCCTCCACACTCCTGTTCTGTCTGTAAGCAAACTGGAGTGGGTCAACACTCACAGGGATCTGGCTCTTAATGAAGTCCAACACGAGCCGCTCAAAAGTCTTCATAAGGACAGACGTGAGGGCCACAGGGCGGTAGTCATTGAGGCTAGAGTTTCGTTCGGGCAGGGACGTGCAGTCAGGGGAGGCAGGGGAGGCAGAGCCTCACCTGCCATTATTGGAAACTAATAATTATTTTAGTTTAAATATATAATTTATATCCACTGTCCTATGCTTTTAATGTATATTCGGCACGGTTCCCATCAGTTTTGATCATTTCTGAAGTCAAAATCGCCGAAATCCCGTTATTCCTATTCAAAGAGACGAGGTGAGGCAGCGCTCCTGCGTGCCTCACCCCAGACCGCTCCCTCACAGTGTGTGTGTGTGTGTCTGAGTGCACTCAGCTCGTGCAGTTGATATATCACCGTTTGTTTCAAATATCCTGCTTTAAAAACATTTTTTAAACTCCTCTTAGTGTTTAGTAGTGTATTGCACGTATGTGTGTACAATTTATATTTAGTTTAAGTCTTTTGATCGTAGATGAACACACAAGGAAAAAGCTTGGCGTGAGGCAGGCGGTATCTGTGCCTCACCGCTAGGGGTGATAGTGAGCATAAAGTTCATACCAGAGTTGCTAACAAACAATCAGCCCAAAATGCTATTTCTTTTGCTGGAAAATGGATGATTTGAATGAAGATTTTTTTTCTCAATTGGACTTTCAAACAAAGAAAGAATTAATATAGACTGGGAGACCACCACTGGACTTACGAGGTTAGTCCGGCTGCGGGGGAGGAGTTTGTTAATCTGTGTTTTATGTTGAACATTGACAGATACCGGCAAAGTAGTGCTTTTCCGAAAAACACTGATTCAAACACTGCTCAAGAGTTCTGCAACTTGTTTAAATTATTGTTTATGTTCCTCGCGTCTCTCTCTCCTCGCGTCTCTCTCTCCTCGCGTCTCCGTCTCTCTCTGCTCCTCGCGTCTCCGTCTCTCTGCTCCTCTCTGTCTCTCTCTGCTCCTCTCTCCTCGCGTCTCTCTCTCCTCGCGTCTCTCTCTCCTCGCGTCTCCGTCTCTCTCTGCTCCTCGCGTCTCCGTCTCTCTGCTCCTCTCTGTCTCTCTCTGCTCCTCTCTCCTCGCGTCTCTCTCTCCTCGCGTCTCCGTCTCTCTCTGCTCCTCGCGTCTCCGTCTCTCTGCTCCTCTCTGTCTCTCTCTGCTCCTCTCTCCTCGCGTCTCTCTCTCCTCGCGTCTCCGTCTCTCTCTGCTCCTCGCGTCTCCGTCTCTCTGCTCCTCTCTGTCTCTCTCTGCTCCTCTCTCCTCGCGTCTCTCTCTCCTCGCGTCTCTCGCACCTGCGCTTCTTAAAGATGTTGTTTGATGCGGAGCAGAGTCAGCAGCTAGATTTGTTGTGAGATTATTAAAAGAAGCTAGTTCTCTCATCTTTACAGTATATAAAGTTTGTGGATGTCATTGCATTGGTGATTAAATGCTATTTTATTTGAATAATGATTGTAAATCTGACTTTTAAAGTCAGTGCCTCCCCAATCACAAACCTCACCGCACGTCCCTGCGTTCGGGCCTGAAAAATGAAGCCCGACCCGGCCCGACTCGGCCCGAGCCCGCTAATGTTAAGCCCGAGCCCGTATAAGCCCGACCAATGAACGCTGTATAACAGCCCGACAGAACCCGACACATCTGATTTCCCGTTGTATGCACTCACCTTCCAATTGCAAGTTTAGTCTCCACTTTTGAATTTGTTTTGTCTCCACTTGATCCATTTCTACTATTGTTCCTGTTCGCTGTTGACCACAGCAGCAGGAGACACGGGGATGATGCGTTCACGGCTCGCTGCTGCTGTAGGACACGCTTGGTATGGTGTCATTAATATATTAACTTTTTTTAATAACTTGTTGTCAATCAACGGACATTGTTATTAATATATATATATATATATATATATATATATATATATATATATATATATATATATATATATATATATATGCAAATCATTATGTATAAAAATCATTTAAAAATAATTATAATAATAATATTTTTATATATAATAATATAATAATAATATAATAATAAAAAAGAAACATATATTTTAAAAAAGAATCCCGAGCCCGGCACGAACCCGAGAGCTGAGCGCCAAATGAGGCCCGAGCCCGGCCCGAACTCAGGTCGGGCCTCGGGCCTGCTCAGGGCTCGGCCTGAAAAGCGAAACTCTAATTCAGGCATGTCACAGGAGACTTCTTAGGAACTGGAATAATGGTGGACTTTTTAAAGCTCACTGGCAACGCACAGCTCCTGAGTAGGGGTGTGACTTTCTCCCGCGATTCGATTATCGATACGCATTTGCCAAGTATCGATATCGATTTTGAAAAAAAAAAAAAAAAAAAAGTTTTTATTTTTTCTTTTTACAATTTTTTTTTTTTTTTTATTGGTATCAATACTTAACATATGGCTACATTACGCATCTCCATTCTATTTATCATGAAATAGAGTAATTTTTCTTTCATTTATGCCATAAATTGGCATATTGTATATTTCTGACCATTCATTCATTCATTCATTCATTTTCAAGCCCTTTATTGTCCATTTCTGGGTCAGGGGGGTGGCTATGAGAGCTGCCACCCAATGCTCATAGCACCAGTCCCTCGCTGATCCTCTGCAGGGGGTGAGTCCACAGAAAGATGGCTGCTCTGTCTTAACCTTGCCTGCAAGCTGAATTCTCGCGGTATTTGTGAGTTCACAAACACACGAGAATACATCTTGTACCGCTCCCGCTTACACTTTTCGAGTCGAACCACTGGGTGTGCGAGCCAATCACGCGCCAGTCTGGGGGTTTAGGGCGGGATATCCGGGTTTGACGAAAGCAAGAAGTGCCGGGCCGAAGCAAAACAAACATGGCTACGCAGGAGGACGGACGCGTAGCTGAGGCTATCAAGTCAGTTTTAGCAGAATCTCCAATTTCTTTTTTGAAAGATGAACAGCGAGAGGCGCTTTGTGCATTTCTGGACGGCAACCTTGGTAGGCGGGCACACAGCGTCACTTCGCCCAATCAGCTTGAAGTATTCTGCTGCTTATCCCTCCTTTCCCCGAAAGGATTCTCCGGGAGAAATCCCAGATTGATATCGCGGAGAACGCGTTAGAGTTCTACACAATCATCAATCTGGCTCTTGCCAGGTTAGCTCTGTGTATTTCTGACCAATATATCAATAATCGTCATATTGTGATAAAATCGTTATCGTGATAAAATCGTTATCGTGATAAAATCGTTATCGTGATAAAATCGTTATCGTGATAAAATCGTTATCGTGATAAAATCGTTATCGTGATATCGTTATCGTGATATCGTTATCGTGATATCGTTATCGTGAGCTTTGTATCGTGTATCGTATCGTATCGTGAGGTACCCTTAGGTTCCCACACCTACTCCTGAGTGTACTGAGGTGTGAATGTGTAATTGCGTGAATATGTGTGTGTCTGCATGTGTAAAGGTACGTGTATGTGTGTGTGCCTTTTCTGACCTTTTCCAGATGCAATCCAGGCTTCAATTACTTGCCATTGTGAAACGGTCTGAGACTCATCGCAATAGAATAGAAATATCAATTTCAGTGGCCGCGAAGAGGGATATTATTTAACGCCTTTGCAAAGAAAAACACTGGATCAAATACACACACATTTGTGTAGTGTGTTTATTTTCATATTTGAGATAAAACAGGAGACACACTGCCAAATCAAAACAGGGCT